ATTATAGGTTAAGAATGCATGTAAAAAGAGGGCATTCTATACTACACTATTGAATGAGTACTAATTACATTTCGCATTTCGATTAAAACTTTCTTCTATATTTCTAGCATCGTGACACAAGAGGCCTATTCTTTTTGACTGGGTTAGTTGTACTAGTTCATATCTAGTGTTTATCTTTCTTATACTGGAAGACTTTCTTACTCTGAACTAGTGCAGCCAGTTGCTAAAAAGAACAGACCTAACTAATATTGGACAGAGCATTCGACAAAATTTCTTCGATTTTTTGTCTTAATAGATCTAGAAATAAATAATAGAAAAGAGATAAATATACAGATACGGATTTCTCTTTTATTATTTTTTTTATTGTTTAAATTTTGTCTAAAGAGGAGATCAGTAACGTATTTGTATACTGGAAACATTTTTGTAATACAATTTTTAAATATATAAATGTAATAAAATTGAATTTATTATATATTATATTAATAATTAATTATGATTTTTATTTTTTATTACACAAAATAGTCGAGAGTAGATATATCATCAGATAGTTCTATGGAGCTACATAAGTTGCTTTTATGTAAACATAACTCTTGTCCTTTTCTATCTTAAGAGACAGTTTTATTCGTCCACTATTACATATATCAAGCCGAATCATTTGCTAATTGTCTGTATTTTTCTATTACTAGTTTTCAAAATGAAAAGAAACAGATGACATATTGGTAAAACAAAAAAAAACAAACATTATCCATTATACAATGTTAAGTTATTCATAAAAATAAATTTTTATATCTACACAATTATGAATAAGTGCATATATGCCATCCAATTACAGATTGTTCAATTTCTATGAAGATATCCATAGAATGTTTATTAGAAATATAGAAAAAAAGAATTTTATTAAAAATTATTGAAGATAATTCGCAGGATGGTGCCACTGGATTCTTTCGATTAATATTTTAATTTTCCGCAGTGATATTTAACGTACATACATGCATTTTCGTCCTGTGTATCCATATATGTATGTAGATTTGTGAGTGTAATGCGATAAATATTTAAAAATCTGTATAATAACCATAAAATCATCGGAATTGAAAAAGATATATATTTATAGAGTTTGGATTATCAAATAAGCAAAATTGAATTATGAAGAAGTTAAAGTGCATAAAGAACATATAATTTATAATATTTTGATGAAAAGAAATATTTATAATTAACATTTTCGATTTTCATACATGGCGTAGAATTTCCTTCGGATAAATAATCCGTTATGCGGTCGAAGAAGCGCGGATTCAAAAACCGGCTTTAAAGGTATGCGCCGCGCCACGCTGCGCCATACCAGGCGTTTGATTTATGTTTCCCGCTCTCTAGTATGGTCGCCCATGCGGGCAGCCATCTTGCGTATGCGGAGATTGCGCACTAGCGCGTTAATAATTCACTCTTCTGCGAGCGCGCGCGCACGCACATATACACGAAAAGTGCCACGAGCTTCTCTCGTTTCAACGGTGTTTCCGCGCGAAGCGCGTCATCGCGATTCGCGAGCGTTCGCGAGCTTCCCTTCGATTGTCTCGTTCGATGCATTGCTCGGCCGAGAAACGTGATTGAGAACGTCGCGCGCGCAAAAAGAATAGAAGGATCGTCGCGTAGGGGGAGAGAGAAAGAGAGACAGTGGGCGGAGTTTGCGTCCGAGTGAAGTTAGCGGCGAAGGCACGCGGTTCGAGAACGACGCGTTTCTCGAGCAAGTTCGCGAGGTAAGGACCGATTGCTCTCCGGAAGAAATCGCTGTTCGCTTACTTCCAGCGTAGGAGAGGTTATGGGATCGCAGTTACGGATGCCGGAGATCGAGCCATCGTAAATAAGGTGGATGCGCACGCGGCGGTCAACGACGGGTCGTCGCGCGCGAGAGAGAGAAGGGTAGAGGGAAAGAGGACGCGCGGCGGCTGGTGCGAGAGGCAGATGCATGGGACGCTCTGATTGGCCGCGGCGGCTGCTATGGCCGCCGATTGGCGTATCGCACGCATATACCCGAAGTCACAGTACGGACGCGCACGTACACCCGCGAGCCGCGTAGCAGTCGCTCGAGCGACCGAGGACAGTGAGAAGAGCGACGGAAACGGTCGGTTCGCGCGCGTCGTCGCCGTCGTCATCGTCGTCGTCGCCGCTGCAGTAGTTTTCTTGTAAGGCGGAAAGCTTCGTGCGCGACGTCCGTGACGCGGGTGACCGGGAGAACGACGCCGATCTTCAGCCATAGCGAATAAGAGCCGTAGAACCATTGAGAGAGAGAGAGAGAGAGAGAGAAGGAAAGAGGGAGATATATATATATATAGATATATATATATAACTAGTGTGGAGACGTCTTGACGAGGGGAGGAGTGCGGTCCGGGCGCGACGCCGACCGTCTCGACACAACCGCGTATACGTAAAACCCGACAATCCGTCAATGTTAGAGCCGCCGGAGGCTCCATTCTCAACTTGCCCTATATTGTGTATACCAGATTTTAGATATCAATAATTAGAAGCGCGAGTGCATCGCCGAGCGCGAAGCGACACGGAGGGAACGTACGAGGATAATAGAGAAGGCATCCCGGAGCGTGTTGGCGGCGCGAGAGCGAGCGAGACACGCGAGAGAGCAAAGAGGGAGAAGGAGGCAGGAACGAAACAGAGCGGAGTTAAAATCACCGAACGATATACACGCAGAAGGACAAAGACGACGGCGTTGGCATAACCTCCAAAGCGTTCGCGCCGCGCGAGGTAGCGATGCGTTAAGTCACGAGGTATTATCTCAACGGAGATAAAGTAGGAGTGAGAGAGAGAGAGAGAGAGAGTGAGAGTGAGAGAATATATTTTTGCAAGTGCAAAACGCGCGCCTTTTGCGAGAAAGCGACGATCGAAGACAACGAATACCGGAAAACGAAGAGGGGGGGGAGAAGGAGAGAAGGCACGTGCATCATTTTACATCCGGCCTCCTGTGGCATCGTCCGACGAGACGAAACAGCACGGAACGGATTCGGATCTGTTTAAGTTTGTCACGGGTTCTTCCGCGACATCTGGTATACGAGTATAACGCGTAGGTGCGTACGCGCGCGTAGTGGTGCGACAACACGAGTGCGCTCCGTCGGTCGTTCTGGGCGCCGCGACGGAGCGAATATAAAGTATAAAAAAAAAAAAAAGGACTAGAGAAGAAACGCGCGCGCGAAAGAAGTGCTCGCCACGTAAACACGTATATACGCGCTTCGCCTACACATACACACATTCACGGACACGTAACGTGAGGCACGCGGACACGGTGGTCGACTGATCACCACCGAGAGTGGAGCAGCGAGCATCCGGTTGATGGATGAGACTGGCAGGATGCTGCAACACGGAGGATCAGATGTGGGTCTGATGGGTGGAAATCAGGGCCAGGCGGCCCAGAACACCGCCGGCTACGGCAGCATGGGCCCGGTCGACGGCACCGCGGCTCAGGGCCCCGATCAGGCGGTCGAGGCCAGGAAGCAGGACATCGGCGAGATCCTGCAGCAGATCATGAACATCACGGACCAGAGTCTGGACGAGGCACAAGCGAGGTATATTTAATATCCTTTCTTCTCTTCTTTTTTCTTTCTTTCTTTCTTTCCTTTTTCTTTG